TATATATATATATATATATATATATAACAAAAAGTATTCTGTATAATACTATAAGATTACCGAGTTAGAATTATAATCTCATGTTAAATCGTATTTATTTAGTCAGACACTGGTCAATATAATTTATTTTTTCTTATATCGATAAGCATAGTATACTATATGCAAAATCTAACTTTCAACGTGTTTATTTAGTTAACTATAGTGAATTACATAGTTAACTCTTTAGTTACATAAATATAACAGTAATTGTACCATTTAGCAACAAGAGATTGTAGCATTCGATTATTACTTGATACGTTAATTATTTAAAAATATGCCCTAAGTCAATAAATGTAAATACATTTGAAAACATTTAAAATCATTAACAAGCTACTTTTGACTTTTTCAATTATTCACATGTTGCATTACCAACATACTAATAACAATTATTTATAGTAACTTATAATTATGTTATTTTTAATATATTAATATTCAACATATATGTACTTTCGAATTCTAATTAAAATCATAGAACGCAATGTATGATACACGCAATAATAAATGAAGCAGGGCATTTTTAATATTTATATACTTATTCTTTTTTGACAATGGATTACTTAGTTTTGTACAAGAAAGTTTAAGTTAATGAAATATTGGGAATTGTTTTTCTTTTTTTAACAAATAATTCATTATAATTCCTTTTACAGGAACATGTTATCATTTTTATATATTAAAGATATATTTTTATGTGTGTATACGTGATTATGGCCATAATATATGCTTTCTGCTTCAACGTAACAACGATAACAAATTGCAAATATTAGTGTACATTCAATAATATTTTTATATTATATATATATTAAGATTGGAATAAATGTTTCAGTTATAATCTTACATTGGTTTAATGATTTTATTTGTATTTCTTTTAGACGCAGCTTATTGTATACGAAATTAGTTTAAATATTCAGTTATAGGAACCTGCCATATTCAGTTCCAGAGAATAAATAACATATCAATCTCAATTAACTTATTAAAATTATTTCATTTTTTAGCCTTTAAAGACCTTTTTTTTGTTAACATTATTTCCAGTCCAAAATGTATTTGCAACTTGCGTGTACTTTTTTAGAAATTTATATTTCATCGCCATCATATCATCATCATCATCATCATCATCATCGTCATCGTCGTTATCAATCATCGCTATTATCATTTAATAGTTTATTTCTCTTATATGAGATGTTTTTTTTTTTTACACAGATTATTTGCTACTTAATGACTACTATAACGAATATTATAATAATTTTTCATTTTATAATGTACTACAGACAAAAGACATCAACATTTGATTTTGCCTAAATAAGGAAAACAATTTAATATTTGAAAATGCGCATTCAATGTTATTATAAACAATGCTCATATGAATAATGTACAGTTGATTGTGTTCTTGTTAGCTATACATTCTGCGAGAAATGATTGTTTAGGTTTTGTAATTCAAAAGAATTTCTCTTTCGAATAGAACTATTTCCACAGAATTTGATATCTTACATTAAAGTATTGTAATTCGCATAGATTAGAGATTTAATCGTCAATCAATAAATTTACTTTCATATGAGAAAGGAATGATTGTTAATAATAAATTACGTTTTATCGTTATGATATATACACTTTGGCGAAAATACATTGTTTTAAAGGTATATAGCAAATTATACTGAAAGATATTACAGCAAAGCTGAACTAGCTAATTTCTGAACTAACTAAAATGAAAATTTCTTTTAATTAGATTCTAGAACCTTGGTTTTAGGCGACGCTATATATGATTCCATATGGAATACATCGTTTATTTTTTTTTTTATTATTATTTTTTTCTTTTCATTTTTTATCATTTTTTTTCTTCATATTGTGAACTATTTCCTATAACACATTAATTTGTTAAAACACTGTGCCACACTATCAGCATGTGTGCGTATATTGTAAAATTATAAATATAATATATATATATATATATATATAATAATATATAATATATATATATTATACTTAAGGATTATATTTTGTATGGAAATTTCTGAAGAAATCATTTGTCAATGCTACTACAATTTCTCTAAAGATCAGACTGTTATTTTTTATACATGTAACTGTATTTTAGCTGCATTTAACAGTATTTTTGATACAGCATTTCCAATTCGCTTGCATATGTTAAGTCATATAAACAGAAGTGTGTAATAATATATTGGCAATAATATATAATTACTTATTCGCGCGCGTATATGTGTGTGTGATGTGATAATAACATATGCAATTATCTGTAATGGTCCACTCTATTCTTCATAAAGCATAAACAATTTGTCGCGCCACTTTTACTTATTTGAGAAGCACAAATTTTTATTCTATATTTTCTAATATAATGTATGAACAACTAAGTCACGTTCTGGTAACTGACGAACTTTCATTGAACCATCTGCTCCACACGAAAATAGACGCCCCGCTGAGTCTACATGTAATTGTGTAACGCCCTGAAATACAAAAATATCAACATTGTCCTTTGTAATAAATTATTTCAAATAATTCAAAAAATACCTGTCCAATATTTTTGAAAAAACTTGATCGAGGGTGTTCAGCAGGAAAAGAGTGTAGAAGACAATGGACGGTTAATCCCCATATCTATAATAAAAATTATAATAACAATAATAATAATTATTATCATTGATTGTAATAATTATTTGTATTAATTTTACTTATATTCTGTATAAATTAAATCAAATATTAAATAAAATAAGTTTACTTTAATATCTCCATCTCCAGCGCCACTAACAAAAAATTCCTCGTGGGGATCTAATGCTAAACATTTGATAGCAGACTCGTGTGCTTGGAATCTATGACGTTGTTGTCTTTGTCGTACATCGAATATATTGATGTCTCCTTTTTTCCCACCACTTATTAATAACTGATGTTGCGGTGCTAATACAAGAGAACTAGCTCCTTGTTCGTGACACGTAAAACCTAATAAAGTTGAATGATTGATAAAATAATACGTATACTTTAACGATTAAATTATTGTATTTATACCTTGTATTAGAGATTTATTTTGCGGTAATAGCGTATCCCAAAGTGCAACATTGCGTCCTTCCGAACCATGACCTGCAGTAGCTATTAGACTACATGCTCCAAGAAAGACGAAATCAGCTGTTACTTTGCTATGGCACTGATAATTCTAAATATAGAAAGAATATTATTTAAAGATTAGTATAATCGAGTAATGGATTGATCGTTTAATTATATTAATACATTTTCATGGGGGAAAAAATACTTACAAAGAATGGACGTGCTGTTCCTTCTCTGCAAGCTACTTGAAATAAACTTAAGTGCCCATCAGAGTCGGCCACTCCAAATTTGTTACCATGTTGAGAGAAACGTACACGAGTAACTTTAGCGAATGTACCTGACGGTCTTGGCGTTGCAACAGCTGTTTGATGACCCCATTCCCACAATGAGACTGATCCATCTTGTGATCCAGTTAAGTCTACAATCACAAATATATAGATTATTAATGAATATTTGAACTGAATATAAAGTATATATAATATAATAACTTATGGTAACAAGTTTTGTTAATACTTACACAGTGGTAATAGCGGATGAGACGAAATCCTTCTGATACCATCGATTTTATGCTTCAGAATCTGTTGCAATAAAACAATATAATATTAAATGAGTGTATATGTTAATTATTAACAGTACATATATTTATACCCGTAAATGAATATAACAACGCAGTAATGCTTAGCAGGTATGAATGTAACAAATAGTTCCTTACTTCAAATGCAAAATATATAGCAATTATTTGTTTTATCAAATAACGCGATCTATATAGACCATGCTTGAAACTTCGTCAGATAATATATAGCAATACATAGCAAAATGTAAAGTATGATAAATTAAAAATTTTATGAATTGCATATTTTTTTTAACATTCTTTCAATTGAATATTTATGTGTTTTGTACCATGTACGTTTATAATACATTAATATTTATTGTAATATTTGAAAAAAAAAAAAAAAACTTGTTTTGATAAGGATACTAAAGTTTAATCTATGATTGTGAAACAAATATGAATGCAGCAGCATTTTAACGCGTTTACATGAAATTTATGTTGATCAAAACATTTGTTTGTGTCAAGTTATACATATACAATGCTGCAACATGCAATGAATACACTCATTTGCATTATATGTTTAACTAGAATTCGTATACTTTATACAAAAGCCATGAATTTGTTAACGTAGCTAATTTGATGAGATCTATGCTCTAAGTAAGCTCCACCAACTGAATATCACTATTGTTATAGTTGAATTTTGAAGATGAAATATATTTTGTACATACTGTGAGATCAAGAACAAATGAATAATAATGAATGTCCTATAGA